ACTATGAGTCAGGGCCAACGTGATGATACCTAACAACAACGACTTGCAAACTTCTCAAATGTAAACCCACTGCTTCAAATGTAAATAAGATTGCTCGAGGATTCCTAACATCTTTTAAAAGATGTTTGAAAAATGACACACAAGCTAGCAAGACAAAGCTGACCGTTAAAAATCAACAACAACCAACTAAAAATGTTACACTGGAAAATTAGGGGGCAGTGAGTGTATGTTAATTGGTGTTGGGGGGGAACAATCAAGAAAAGGAGTGTGAAAACGAATGCAGAGCTTGAAGAAATAAGGTCTCTGAATTGGAGAAACTGCTGAATTGATTTATGTTCTGCTGTGTATCTTTTCAACAACAAAAAATAAGAGCACACTTTAAAATTAGGAGTAGGAGTTTGAACAGAAGAGCAAAAAACCCTACTGTCTGGCTAGAAGAGAAATGGCATCTGTATTTTCAGCAATTCCCACTAGAAAGTTATCATTTCTCAACCATGAAACTAGGCATGAACTAGCAATTTCCATGTCTTTGGCTCCATTTGAAATGGCATGTATTTTTATACCATTACAGTGGTTGCAGACACTTCAAAATATTATTACATTTATCACTCTAGTGGCCTCGTGCTAAGAAACTGAGCTACAATCCCAAAGGCATGTGGTTCAAACCTCTCAGCTGTTCATGGGAGAAGGATAGGAAATCTCTTCCCATGCAATTTACTGTCTCAGAAAACCCTCTGGAGGGTCAGCTACGGTTCAGTTCCAACTTGAAGGTACAAACAACAACAACTAGATCATATGCAATCTGTCTTCCTGTCTAAATAATTGTGAGATGAGGCTGGACAATTTTCTCCCTCACAACTATCAGTAAACAGTCATGTCTCATTTTAGTGCCCCAGACATCTATGTTGGTTCCCACTACTCCGTTACAGACCACCCCAGAGTAATGATCTTACATAAACTAAATCAAAATAATCTTCATGCTGCTGTACTGAAAAGGAAAATTTTTAACTTTTCCATAGTTTAATTATCTTATTGATATGTTAATAAAGAAGCACATAATACTGTAACACAAATTAGTTTAAAAAATATTCTGATAATTCTAAAATGTAACTGCTGTTCTCTGTAATTATATATGTTGTTTACTGTCGGTCAGAATCAATCCATAGCTGAGCGTCGAGTGTGTTTTCAGAGGCAATTAACTGCACAGGAGGAGAGAGCCCATCCTTCTCCCACGGAGCAGCTGGTAGATTCAAAGTGCATGCCTTCGGGGTTGCGGTGCAGCTTCTTGCCACATTTTCAAGATATGTGTGACATTTAAGAAAGTTAAAATCCCCTGATCTAAGGCACATATCTTCGTTCATTCAATTAGTCTGTCAACTATGTACAGAGTAACTAGTATTATGTTGAACCATTTGAAATTGCTAATATTTGAGTGTTTTTCTGTACCAAAATGGCAACTTCATGCAGCTTGGCCTAATACTTGTCAGGACCAATCTAAAACTAATATTAAACAGTCATGGAATGAAAACAAACTCTTGAAAATAGGAAAAATGGATGCCTGCAGAAGTAATTAAAATGTACATTACTTGAGTAACAAGGGGCACACAGGAAGGGGGGAGGAAGTCATGAGAAAGCAAAGGGCTCAGAGGAAATGATCCACTTAATTATCTTGAATGAGAATGACCTAAATATAATGCCGAGTATTATTTTCCACGACCTAGCAAAAGTTTCATTAAAGCTTCAGTATTTCCCCCAAAAAAATAACAGCAAATAAAAAAAACCCAAAACCCACCACACTAAAAACACAGGAAATAACAAACCTTCCACCTTAAACTAAGTCCACCTGAAACTCAATACTGAAACCAATAAGCAATGGATTATATTTATACACTCCACTGCTGAGTTGATTGCAGCTCACAGCGATTCTGAGTTTCCAAGGCTGTAAATCTAAACCACAGATTACCTTATCTTTTCCCCACAGAGCAGCTGATGGATTCGAATTGTCAATTCTTTATGCCCAACATTTAACCTGCTGTAAGACCAGAGTTATCATCCATGCCAATTATTCCATTTGATCTTCACCCAACCAAGAGAGACTTGGCAACATATCCTCATTTCTTTAAGTTACACAGCATGCAATATATCCAAGGAGACTCGCCTTTTAAGAGAACCTTAAAACCAGTCTTGAATTTAAACCAGACTCTTTATTCTCAGTGACCAAGAACAATGTTAAAAGGGAGGCTAAGTATATTAAAATTAAGGAAACCTAGGTTTAATCTGTCACTTTTTATACGTACTTGAGAAGTCTCCTGACATTTGTGAGGCTACACTTACTAAAATACAAAACTACCGCTGAGTCGATTCCAACTCAAAGCTACGCTCTCTTAGTTTCTAGACAGTACATCTTTACGAAGGAGACTGCCCTCTGCCTCCCAAGGAGCAGCTGGTGAAGCCAAACCACTGACCTTTTGGTTAAGAGCCTAACATATAACACACCATGTCACCTGGACTCCATAAGCTGAAAAAAATAACCTCTTTGATTCAATGAGACACCGTCATTAATGCCCTTACCCTCTGTAACAGCTGCTCAAGGTATCTGACTCTTAATCTAAAAGAATTCAGGAATGAAATGAGACTCCACAAGGACAGCACAGTTAACGGTAGAACAGTGCCATGCTCCATGGCTGCTCTGGTAAATTCCCTGATCTTTGTTAGCATGATTCCATCATTATAATGGCTTTTGAAAAAACAGCATATAATAACAATGTCATATTTTGGTAATCTTTTTTAAATATATAAAATTTCAAAATCTCTTACATTGGAAGCTTTGATCAAGAGCCCAACAAAAATCTAGTACCTTTAAAAAAGGAACAAATCTACAACCCATATTTTTACAACATCCAATTTTAAGGTCCCTATGAAAGAGCTCTGGTGGCCTGGTGGCAAGTAGCTGTGCTACAATCCTGAAGACATGTGATTCGAGGCCACCAGCCACTGCGCAGGAGAAGGACAGGCAATCTCCTCCTGTGTAATTAACTGCCTCTGAAAACCTACCAGAGGGCCAGCTCTGGGTCGGTTCTGACTCAATGGTTCAAAACAATCACAAGAGAGAGCTTTGGTGACCTAGTGGTTAAGAAGCTGCACAGCAATTCCAGAGGCACATAATTGTAACCCACCAATTGGTCCACAGGAGAAGGATGAACAATCTCTTCCTGTGCAATTTACTGCCTCTAAAAAGCAGCTGGAGGGTCAGCTATGGGTCGGTTCCAGCTCGATGGTACACCCAGCAAGGGGAGCCCTGGGAGACCGAGCTCCCAGTGTGTAGGCTGAGTGTCTCTCTGGCCACTCAACTCTACCAGGGGCTCTGAGGAAGAGAGATGGGCGGTTTCCTCCCCTTAGGATTTATAGCCTAGGAAATGCAACAGTGAGTTGCTAGGACTAAGAGTCAAACTGACAGTAGTGAGTTGGAGGTTGTTTTCAGTATTTTTAAAGTCCCAAAGTGGCACAAAGACTTTGAGCTCAACTACTATAAGATCCATCCACCGTATTACAGAAGAAAAGGCCAGTTGACCTGCTTCCAGTAAGATTACAGTAAAGAAACCTCCTGGAGTACTTCTACCCAGTAGCACGCAGGATCACCATGAATTGGAATTGACTTCACAGCAAGTAATATTTACTCAGAGCCCAGAAAGAGCCTTAGATCACCTCTGCTAGTAGACAGACTCTAAGATCTTGAATTTGATGATGGACAGAAGCTAAATCAGAGTCAATCAACAAATACAAAGGAAAAATGTTGGGGAATGGTACCCAAGTAAAAGAAAATAATCTTCCACCCTAAAGATAAATAGCACTGGATGCTCCGCTGAAGGAGGGGCAATCTCCTCCTGTGTTAATAGAATCTGGTTCAAAAGCACAAAAAAGGGGGGGTGGGGGGAGTAGATCAACAAGAGTGCTCTGGTGGCCTAATGGTAAGAAGCTGCACTGTAATCCCGAAAGCATATGCTTCTAATCCACCAGCTGCTCCATGGGAGTAAAATGGACACTCTCTTTCCATGTAAATAATAGACTATGAAAACCCACTGGAGGGTCAGCTATGGGTCAGTTCTGACTCAGTGGTACTCAGCAACAACAAAGGTAAACAAAAGCAAAAGAAGGCAATGCTTCCTATGTGTTTTAACCACACACCCTGAGGGACTGAGTTGTTGGCTGAGGCCTTGGGACTATACACAGTCTTGAGGAACATCAAGGTCAACTGGCACAAAGACTGATGTTTGCAAAGCCAGTGTTCTACATTCTATTTTGGTGAGGAGCAAATGAGGTCTTAAAAAGCTCAGGGGCAGCCATCAAAAACTGATCTCTCCTCATCTGGAACAAAAGGGAAGGAGGGAAAGCAAAGATGCACGGAAGCAATTATCCTGAGGGGCTAATGGCCCACTCCAACCTCAACTTCCTGAGACCAGGACCAGATGGTGCTTGCCTACCACTGACAGCCACTCTGAAAGGGATCACAGCAGAAGATCCTGAGTTAATGGGAGAAAAATGTGGACTAAAACATTAAAAACGGCCAGGCTGACAAGTCTGCCAGAGAGAGGTGGAGCCTTGAGCCTATGACACTTACTCACCCTTCAAACCTGGAACAAAACTCACACTTGGGAACTCAAATTCCTGCCAAATGATAAAGAGGTCTATACAGTGAGCAACAGCACTCACCCAGACGAGGTAAAAAGAGCAGCATTTTCCAAAAAATAAAGCCCCTGAAGGCAGGAAAAGAGGAAGACAGAGATAAATGGAAATCAGAATTACAGGGAGGAAGTGGGGCAAAGTGTGATCATATCATGGATATTGTAACAAATATTATAAAACAACATATAAGAAACACTAGATGAAATAGCTAAACTCTGCTTCAAATCACAATTTAAAAAGAAAAAAAAGAGAGAGAGGGAGAGAATGAAAAAAAATTTGTCAACTAAGAGGCCAAAAGCAAGGTTTTTATTACTTACTCTTGGGTCACTACTTCCTCATCCTCCGAGGACGATGCTGTTTCCTCCAGGTCCCGGGCCATCACGACGGGCATTTCCTTTGGGGTTTGTCATGCAGTCAGCAGACGGGGGGCCTCAGAGACCTTTCCTTGCAGATTCACTGGACCAAACAATTTGGGTGGCACAGATACCTGCAAGAAAGTCAATTGACCTAAAACCCAAGGCCACTGTCCTTTGCTGATTATTGCAGATGATCTTCCAAGCGGTGCAAATCAATCGGTACTAACAGGTGCCCAGTCTTTAGAGGTTTATTAACCTCTTATCCTAAGGCCTCCTATACACCACTAAAATGAATGCTATTTCAAACACTGTGCTCTGTGTATCTGAAAAGCAGCTTATTTTTGCCCCCTATATAGTAAACCTAATATGCTCTGAAAGCAGAGATTTGCTTAACTTTTAGGTAACCTGGTGGATGACCGCTCTGGGTCAAAAATGAATGAAGTACATCTCACTCCATTACACTATGAAAAAAATACACAAGCCAACTGCCCTCCTGTTTCCAGTAAAAAAACACAACTGAACCAAAAGATTAACAGGGAAGAATCCGATCAATAGCTGGGGGGATGAGGAGTGTACTCCCTTCCATTCTTAAACATTACTTTCCCTAAAAAAAAAAAAAAACAAAAAACCTGTAAGGTGAATCTCAAATACATAGTAAAATTAGCACATCTCCAAAACTTTATTTTTTAATTAAAATATTTCCCCATTGAAAATAATTATTATCTGTTGAGGGAGAAAGGAACTGGGAACTGGAGGAGTAAATAAAAATGTCAGACCAAGAAAAGAAACGGCATAAATGGTCTTAACTGTTTAAATGACCATAATCCCATTATTCAGAGATAACCACTTGATGTCAGTTTTGCCAGATCTTCCCACACACACACACACACACACACACACACACACACCCCCCCCGCAGTCACGTTTACCTTAAGACTGCAAATCACTTAACTCATTTTAAATCCGACAGAAAACCCCACTGACCGCAACGGCAGACCCTACAGATAACATCTTCAGAAGGATGGGCAATACCCAACAACCGCAAAGGCGTTCTAGGGGGAAATTCCCGAGGTGATTTCTCGATCTTTCCCAAAAATGTTGGGAAATCCTTTAAGTTAAAACAAACAAAACCTCCAGGCGGGAGAGATGCTAGCTAGCCTTCTCCTTCGCTACAGAGCGATCCGGAGAAGATTAAGGACATTCGCCCCAAGGCACGTCCTTGCCCTCCAGGGATCAGCCTAGGCTCACCCCAATCCCAGGAAAGTCCGCAGGTGCGCCCCGTAAGCAGGGAAGAGGCGACTCCGCTGCAGCGACTCAGCCCGGCGCGCCCGGAAGCCAGCAGCTCCCGGGCTCCGAGAGGGAAGTGCAGCCGCCGGCGCCCGCCAAGACCTGGGAGCGCAACTCCCTCGGGTAGCGGAGCGCGCCGGCGCAGGCGTTTACCTGGCTCATCTTCTCATGGCTCTGCGCGGGCAGGCGGGGACCGCGCTCTGCGCCTACCTCCCTCCTCCTTCCCCTGCCTGGCTCGCCGCCGACGCAGAGGGCTGCTTCCCCGGTTACTACAACAACCAACAAGCAACCGCCCGGTCGGAGTCACTGCGCAGGCGCCCCCACCCGGCGCGGACAATGCTCGCCTCCTGTCGCAGGCTGATGTCGTCACCGCTGCTCGGCGCGGGCGTGGAACCCCTGCGGTCCGCCGCGCTGGAGAGGTGTATGGGGTTCTGCTTTGTTTGGTGGGTTTTGTTGTTGTTGTTTTTCAACCCTCTCTCCCTCCCTACAGGATGAGTTCTGGACCCAGAGTCCCATTTACGTCATTCTGGACAGGGACATTCCCTGTGTGAGCGGTGTATCCGGGGTGAGGCTTGGACAGCAGCAACCACTGATTGGCAGTAAGGGTTCACTCCCCATCTCCTGCTCCGAGCAAAGCTGCCGCAGCCAATCAAAGCGAGGACCACTGGAAACGGCCCAATCCTGGTGCCGAACTGAGAAAGGGAGTGGGGATAAATGGCACAGGTGGACGCGAGGCTGGAGCGATCTTGTGCGAGCTCCTCTGTTGCTGCTGCTGCTGCTGCTGCTGCTGCTGCTGCTGCTGTTGTGCTGGAAGTCCGGTTGCCAGGTAATGAGATTATGGGTGAAAAGAGGGACGATAAGGACATAGAGTCTGGGAAAGTGGGGGTAGGGGGTAGGAAGATTCCTGGAATGTAATCTTTTGGGGGTAAAGAGAGCTAGAAAGATGGAGAAAAGGGAGAGCAATGAGGATGGAGAAGGCTTGAGCAGTCCTGAAAACAAATGAGTAGATTAATGAGTGAGAAGCTGCTATAAGTTTAGCCTTATGCAAGGATCTTCACTTTCTTGTAATAATCTTTGAGATACATTTTTGTCTGTTTTTCAGATGAGGGAATCATAGGGGAACCAAGGTTGGAAAGTTAAGTGTAAATGGCTTTCTCGGAGTCATGCAGGTACTAAAAGGTAGTACCAAGGTAGGAACGCCTCTCTCTGGAGTCTACAGTTTAACACCAGACCTTTGCTTAGGGCAGGGCAGAATTTGGAGAAAAATGGTCTTGACTCATTGCCTTTGAGCCTGAACTGATTCATAGCTGACCCTCCAGCAGGTCAGGAGGCTGTAAATTGCAGAGGAGCTGCTTTCTCCCCAGAGCTGCTGGTGAATTCAAGCCAGTTACCTTAAGGTTAGCAGCACAGATCCCTCAACGTTATGTCATTATTGTTGTTGTTGTTGTTGTTGTTGTTAGGTGCCCTCGAGGCAAATACAACTCATAACGACCTTATGAACAACGGATCTGAAGCCTGCCCTGTCCTGTGCCATCCTCATCATCTTTGTCACTCTAGAGCCCATTGTTACGGACTCTGTGTCAGACCATCTCGTGGAGGGTCTTCCTCTTCTTCACTCTCAACTTTTTCAAGCTTGCTCTCCTCCCATTCTACAAACCAGTCCCTCCTAATAATGTGTCCAAAGTATGTGAGATGAAGTTTCACTGTCCTGTGCCAGTGGAGTAATCTAATGGTTTGGGGACATTGGCTTAAGGGATTGATAGGTCAGTTCAGAATTTTGCTCAGGACCTGTGCTCATCAGCACATTTGTCAGGATTTCTAAGACCTTCTGTGACTTGGAAAACATTTCTGCTGGAAAAGGGAAGCCTTCCATGAGCTTTTCTTGACCCTGCAAGGAGAGAACTTGAGCGAGAATGAGATAATAAGGATGGGGGTTGACAGATCTGGCTACACTGTAACTGCCTTTAATGTCCACTTGAACACTAATCTCCCTGGACCAGAACAGAAATTCTCTCTGAACTTCCCTGAAGGGTTCATCAGTCTCCCCTTACACTACAGCTCGCTTGCTCACTCACTCAGTTCTCTCTATCTCTCTGTGTGTGTGTGGTGTGTGTAAGAGACCGTATAATCTAGGACCATTGCCAACTTTTCTGTCTCCCTCAGTTTGGTAGAATAAGACTAGATTGAAATCTCTGTGCTGCCAAAGTCACAAAGAAAGCCTGACAGTTTATTTCCACTTCAAGCCCAAGAAGTTAGCCTGGAGATAAGAAAATGTACAGCAATAAAAACACTAGACAATTTTTTTTTTAAAAAAAGTTAACCTGTCACAGATAAGCCTTGAACCAAAAAAACCATGGAAATGGAAAGAGACAATTTTATTATTACATCCTTCATCCATATAGGTTTAACTCTTTTTATGACTTGTAAGACATATCTCCCACCAATATTATCAACCTCTCAGAATTGTAGTCTGTGCGCCTGCCCTCCAGGGACCTATTACCTGTATGAACCTGAAGAAATGGGCCTTTTACATCATCAGGCCTGCCAGCAGAATCCACTTGGGACATACAGGCACGACTTAGTTGTAACAAAACCCATATTAAGTTTAAAAAAAAAATTCATGTGACTTTAGCATACTTTCCATTACCAAAACAACACATGGTCTCAAAAAATGAAAGCTGAAACTAAATGCAAGAGATAAATTACTTGAAATCACTAGTCCTCAAAGATTGATAAAACCTTCCAAAAAAGTATGTAATAAATTAAAAAAAAAGTATTTTATGCACAACCTGCCTTTGAGCCGTGGTATTGGAGAAAAGCACTGAACATCCAATAGATGACCAAGAGAACAAACAGATACATCTTGGAGAGGGTGCAGCCAGAGTGCTCTTGGGAGAAAAGAATGATGAGGCTTTGCCTCACAAATTTTGGGCATATTTCTAGGAGAGTCTATTCCTTGGAGAAGGACATGATGTTGGGAAGGTAGGAGGGTCATCGAAGGAGAGGAAGACCCTCAACCAGGTAGATTGACAGGGTAACTGCTGCAAAGGTCTCTTGTGTGTCAGGAAGTGTGAGGATGGTGCAGGATAGAACAGGGTTCAGATCTTTTGTTCATAGGGTCGCTATGAGTCGTACTCTACTGCACTTAACAACAACATAAATAGATATCAGTAGGTATGCTTGTCTTTCTGGAGACCAAAATATCCCGTCACTATGAGGTCGTATTCCAGAGTAAGAACTGACAGACTATAGTTTATATTCAGTCCTGATATATATTTGATGTGTGGCCATGGGCAGATAACTTCTTTGTGCCAGCTCTCACCTGCATATCTTGTTGTAAGAAATAAATGCAGTAGCATATGTCAGTAGCTTGGCACAGTGTGCGACCCCTCGCAGTGTCCAATAATGGTTAGCTACTTAAAAAAAAAAATTTAAAGTTTAGCCATTGTAATTTCTCTTGCTTCCAGACAAGATTGCTAATTCCTTCTTCGTGAAAAATTTCCCCTAGTTTTCAAGCTATTTCTTTTTCACTTTTAGACTATTCTAGCGTTCGTCAGAACAGAGCAAGGGAACACTGCATAGTTCAAAATTGGGAAGGGCGTACACCAGGGATGCATCCTATCTCCATACCTTTTCAACCTGTATGCAGAAACAGATTATCCGGGAGGCTGGGCTCGATGAGGAGAAATGTGGGGTCAAGATTGGTGGAAGATCTATCAACAAACAATCTACGTTATGCAGATGACACAACCCTGCTTACTGAAACTGAGGAGGACCTGAAGTGCTTGCTGCAGAGGGTCAAGGACTGCAATATGGATTGAGGTTCAATGTCAAGAAGACAAAGATTCTCACCACTGGACCAACTGGCAGCATCAGGATGGATGGTGAAGAGATTAAGATTGTTCACAGCTTTAGTTTGCTTGGTTCCACAGTCAACACTCTTGGCACCAGTGGCCAGGAAATTAAAAGGCATATTGCCATGGGAAAGTCTGCTATTAGGGACCTCTCCAAAGTACTGAAGAGCAGTGGTGTCTCTCTGGAGACTAAGGTGCGTCTGATACAGGCCATGGTCTTTGCTATCACTTGTTATGCATCAGAGAGTTGGACCATGACCACGGAAGATAGAAGGAGAATTGATGCCTTTGAGCTGTGGTGCTGGAGAAGAGTATTGAGAATACCATGGACTGCTAGGAAAACAAACAGATTCATCCTGGAAAGGATTAAACCGGGTGGCTCCTTGGAGGCAAGGATTCTGAGGCTCCGTCTATCATACTTTGGACATGTTGTAAGGAGGGACCGGTCCTTGGAGAGGGACATCATGCTTGGGAGGGTAGAGGGACAGCGCAGGAGGGGAAGGCTCTCTGTGAGGTGGATTGATTCCATGACTGGGGTAATCAGGATGGGAGTGTCAGAGACAGTGCGATTGGCACAGGACAGAGCAGAGTTTAGGGCTCTTGTACATAGGGTCGCTGTGAGTTGCAAGCGACTCGACGGCACATAACAACAGCAACAAGAAGAGTATATGCAGTATGATGTGCCCGAGACCCAGAATATGGAAAAACCTCCAGGTACAAATAATGACCTCACTCCATAGGCTCTACTCAAAATGTTGCATAACCAGGTCGGTATCGGCTAGTATTTGTGTGATCACCTTTGAGTTACTTACATCACAAAGGAATGCTATGGGGTGGGGGGGAGAGGCGGAGGGGAAGCGGAAAAACCAGGCTAGAAGTAAGTTTAGAAGGATTGATTCTAACCAGGACAAAGAGCTCGCACTTGGTCAGAGGTCAGTACTGAACCACTTACTGCAAGTTTGCTGTTCATTCATCATAATTTTGGGGTCTAAATATTGAGCTAGAGAGTGAATAAGGATGACAGAAGAATTAATGCCTTTGAACTGTGGTGCTGGAGAAGAATACTGAATATCCCATGGCCTGCCAATAGAAAAACAGATGCTTCTTGGAGAAGGTGGAGCCAGAGTGCACCTTGGAGGCAAAGATGATTAAGCTTCATCTCTCATAGTTTGGACATGTTGCTAAGAGGTTCTTTGGAAAGGGACATCATACTTGGGAAGGTGGAGCGATGGTGAAAGAAAAGAAGACCCTCAACCAGGTGGATTGACACAGTGACTGCAGCACTGAGCTCAAGTGTGTCAGATTGTGAGGATGGCACAAGTCAGGACAGGGGTCAGATTTGTTTTTCACAGGGTTGCTATGAGTTGGACTCAACTCAGTGGGATGTAATAGCCACAAATATTGAGACCAATTACTATGAACCTTAAACAGAATAACCTTAAGATTATCCACCTCCTTTCCTTCTTTTGAAACTATATATGGATAAGCCTAAGCGACCTGAAGGGAACAGAACTACGAGAGCTTATGTATGAAGTAGACTGGCCCTCACTGTCTCAAATCTTTTGGCTTTATTTCCAAGGCAGAAAATCCTTTCACAGTTAAGGAGAGTCATGGGCCGTTTCCTGAATGTATTACGGAGCTGGCTGGTTATGGTTTCCATCATTGCCGCGGGGAACACATTACAGAGCTTCCGAGATCACAGCTTTCTTTATGAGAAGCTCTACACTGGCAAGCCAAACCTCGGTAAGTGGTCAAAAACTGAATCCATACTTCTGTATGGATGCACTTCACAGTAACCAAACCAGGCTGCGCATCAGACCAACCTCAGAAACATCAAAACAAAAAGTACAAGGGTCATTTTCTCCTGTTGAACCCCTCACTCCTGATCGGAGCCCAGGAATCTATTTAAAAATATTCACGTGATTCTCATACTGCCTAACGTAGCCTTTGAGAACCAGTGGAATAATGGACTTTGTGACTAGCACTTGATTCTTTGTTCCACCATGGTTCTCTGGTTACCTTTTCATTCATTGTACATCATCTTGGGCTATTAATGTATACAGATAGTATTTGTAAGGACATATAAGGAAATAGTCATAAATTGGCACTGTGATGCCTCATGAAATACCAGGAAATCATGCCCATTACCATCAAGTAGATTCCGATTGTAGGACAGAATATAACAGCCCCATATGTTTTGAGGGCTGTAGTATTTTGTAGAATCATTACCCCCACCCCTTCCTCCTGCAGAGCTGCTAGTGGAATGCAAACCTTTTAACAGCCAAGTTCATGGTGCCACACTAGAAAAGTCATAAAGAAGCTTTCCTGTTATCTCTTCAGCTTGCCCTCTTCAGAAATGAGGTTGGGATACACATGGTTTATATTCCATGTTACACATGACGAGGTATTAAACCCAGGGGCATCCCAGGCTGTGACGTAGTCTCTGAAAAGACACTTAGAATTCCTGCCTCTAAGCCGATCCTCCAAAATGAAACTTCAGAAGAAGGTACATGGTGGGTTTCACCAGCTCCCTGAACCTCTCTCCTAAGCGCATTTTTGGATTTCATCTTGCACTTTCACTGCATTGATGTGTGGGACGGTTGGACCTACAGCGTAGTTCTCCAGCAGCTGTAACAATTCTCTGTCACATGTAGAGCTAACCTAGATTTCAGGCTCTGACCTGGCCCATTTTTTGTGTAACATCTGGGTATAACATGTAACTAACTAGGCTAAAGCTCATTTTGAACAAAGCTCAGGTACACTTAGGGTAAAGCGCTGGACAAAGAGGGCAGGCCAGTTCCATCTTCTCATCCTCATTTGCTACCCTGGGATCATTCAGGAGCCCTGTTCAGGTTCCCAGAATTGGTTCGAGGCTTGGATTTGAAAGGTTGAAACAGAAAGCCCAGTTGTCTGACTTGCTGAGGAGCACAGAGCTGAGCAGAAAGTGTGCCCATCCACCATTCCAGTGTCTCACCAACTAGAGAAATATCCTTAGTCTCTTCATAAAAAAAAAAAAAAAGATAAATTGGTTACTACAGAATGTGGCTCTCCAGAGCTCACAGCCAGATAGGCACCTGGCTTATGGAATATTTTTTATCTCACTGGAAGAGGTCTTCAAAGTTGTGAATCTGGTTTTCCAAAGGCTAGAAAATGCTTAAAGCCCAAATAGATGTTAATAGATTTTTCACTTGTCAGTCTTGTCCCTGCACATTTTGTCTTGCATCAGAGATCAACAGAGGGAGGTATCTGATCACTGTTCAGGCATTACCAAGTTGCTGGACACTTTAAATCAATGAGTGTACATTTAAATCACCCAGGTATGGAGTATCTAAAGGATGTATGGCCAGGATCATCCTCAAAAGAGAATCATTTAATTGGTCCAATAGCCAGATAGCAGATTTGTATAAATTTGCTGCTGTTGATTCTAAAAAGACCACCAGGATTAGGAACCACTATGTGATAGCATGTGACCTACACTTTTCAGGACAAGAGGTGTAACAGCGATTTCAGAGCTAACTTTCCAAAAGTAAGCTGTCCCAAAAGAAACAGTGCTTTGTTCACTACTGTGTGCACAGGAAACCAGTTTGGGTTTTGTTCACATAATGATACCAAAGATGTAGGCCTCTCAAAGGCCAAGGATGGGCATCTAGATTGACTGCAGAATCCCTGAGTTCTCTCCTGGACCAGCTTTGAACATATCCTCGTTGTATTCACAGACCAAGCTCTGCACACTTTTCCCTGGAGTCCCCTAAGGGATATTGTGTTTACTGCTGTTGTGCAAGATACTCTTATATCTGCCCCCAAAACCAGGTGGCTTCTAGCATCAGAGGGCAAGAACAACTCAATCCAAGGCTCTTTGTTGGGTTTCTGCTCTTATAACTCTTTCCCTACTTCAGACATGTGAAAAGGAGCCCAGCCATTCTCACTCTGGAATGCCCTCTAGTCCCCATGGCAGCATCAGAGCCTCCCTCCCACAGAGATTTCTGGCTCAGCTCCCCACCTTCCATCAAGTAGAAGGAGCTTGGCGGGAACCCCAACCCTCCCGTTCTTAACACTCTCGCTTTGTTCTCCTCTCCAGTGAATGGCCTCCAAGCTCGGACGTTTGGGATTTGGACACTGCTCTCATCAGTGATTCGCTGCCTCTGTGCCATCGACATCCACAATAAAACGTACGTAAGGAAGACTTTCACCATGTTTTTTGTTGCAACTCATATGCTAGGTATATACATTGCCCCCTCTCCTTGATATCCCATTAATCATTTTTAATTTCATCCTAGCATATGGATCATAGAAAGTTAATAAATTCTGTTTCTTCCAGGCCTAAAAGATAAAATAGCCTTAACAAGTCTTTAAAGTCAGGAACATTTCAGAACTGGCAGCTGCAGCGTTATCCACTGGCTGGGGATATAGCTCATGGGTAGAGCATTTGACTGCATCATCCTCTGGCCTGCACCATTCCCCTCCACCTTTCCTCTGAGAATCAGCCTTTATTCCACTAACTTGGAATGGAACGGTTGGCCCTTCAGAATGCATGGATGTGGCCATTCACAGATTGAATATACTGAGCCTGGGGAACAGCAGGTGGTCAAAGCAATACTTCAGAGGCTGAGTGGAGTATAATGTGGTATTCACATAGCCTTGACATTGTAGTAGGTATGATGAGTAATCTAAAGATGATTTAAGGATCCTTGATGGAAAAGTGAGGGTGCTCTGGTGGTGTAGTAAATAGCATATCAGGCTGCTAACTGAAAGGTTGGCAGTTTGAATTCACTAGCCGCTCCGTGGGAGTAAGACAGGCACAGAGTCCCCTCCCATAAAGGTTTACAGTCTCAGAAACCACATGGAGGGTTGGTGTGAGTCAAAACTAACTCAACAGCAGTGGCCTGAGTTTGGTTCGATTCGATTCAATGGCGTAGTGGTTTAAGCGTTGAGTTCCTCACTGAAAGGTCAGAGCCCATTGATCACCAGCATTTCCACAGGGGAAAGGGATGGAGCAGCAGTCTGTTCTCGATAAGGTTTACAGCTTCATGTAATGTTCTCCGGAGGAGATGCTGGTGAGGTCAGTGGCTGTGCAGCAATGAAAGAAAGAGGGCAAATGGGATGAGGGAGAGGGAGGAAAATGTGCAACAACGAGTGAATGGAAATTCAAGTTTTCTGTAAACTTTCATTAAAATAGCAATAAAAAAATTTAAAAAAAGATTTACAGCTTTGAACTTTGGTTAAGCATTGTATTAAGTTAATTGAATTCGTTAATGGCAATTACTGCCTATGAATAATTGGTGGAGGGGGAAATGAGGTTTGTAAACTTTCACTAAAATAGACTGGAAAAAAAATTTACAGCCTTGGAAACCCAGTGAGGGTCCTTGGTGTACAGCCTTGAAAACCCAGTGAGGTAATTCGTTTACAGCCTTGGAAACCCAGTGAGGTAGTTCGTTTACAGCCTTAGAAACCCAGTGAGGTAGTTCATTTACAGCCTTGGAAACCAGTGGGCTGATTCTCTTGTCCTGTAGGGCAGCTGAGAGCTGAATTTGACTTGATGACAGCCTGAGAGATGATTTCAAGTATATGGGGAATGAGGAGTAAGGGCAGGTCCTATAGAAAGCCTCTGCCATTTTATATAAAGGACTTGTGCACCCGCAGATTTTTCATATCTGAGGGGGTTCTGGAGCCCATCCCCACAAATATCAAGGGATGCTCATTCTTTTTAGAGCAATTGCCCACACACATATTATTTTCTCACACTCCTCCTTAGGAAAATATCTAGGAAAAAACACAGCCCACAAGTAAACTCAGTCGTGGAGGAAGGATATAAGCCAGGACTCCTGAGAAACAACTGTAGTCACGGGCTGTGCTCCAGATACCGGCTCTGTCCACTTGAGGGGGCTCAAGCTTCCTTCACAAGAGTCATTACGATAAAGGCTGAAGCATTGGTGCAGGTCAGTGGATGAGGCTGTCAAAAGGCCGGCTTCACTCGAAAATACTGCATTTTTATCTAAACCCTCAGCATCTTCTGAGGAGGGAGAAGGTATTAATATTTCTGAGCCCCCTCATACCAGGAGTTTCACCTACATAACCTTGATTAAAACTCCTTAGAACAGCCCTGGAAGATAGTGGTTCTCATTCCTTCTTTTGCAAATCTAGATACTAGAGACCCAATTAATTTACTCTGGGGAAGATTGACTCAAGTGGGATTTGAAGCAAGACTGTTGGCCCCGACATCTCTCCAACTTTATAATAGTTTTTTTTCCTTTGAACTTGAAACTCTGATTTACTTGTCCTAGATTAACATATATTTTTGGAAGCAATATGGTTTAGTGGAAAAAAACCCGGGAGTGAGGATGAAAATAAGAAAATGAGATCTAGTCTTAATTCTATTGGTAACTAGTTTTGTAGAAGCAAATTTGTTTTTTTTACCTCCCTTGTACCTGTCTTCCACCTTCATCCATGAATTGAGAATTTTCTGTTCTGCCTCTCAAGGACACTGGGAAGAAGGAGGCATTGAATGACCTTTCCAAAGACCTTTGCCAGGCTGAAGAATTCTTGATAGGTGCAAGGGGTGTATCTTTTGTGACTTATGCTTTTGGAGTGAGCAGAGATAATTCAGAACATATCTGTACCTCTACCAACCATTCATTTTTCCTCTGTTCCCAAACAGCTGCCAGTACTGACTTCCTTGTTTTCCAGATCTCTAGTATCCTAGGACTTTGATCTGTACACCTCTGATGTGCACTCTGATCTTGTTCCCTCCCTAACTGGAAACGCAAAATCAACACCCATGTGCAGAGATTTACTCAATGTAAGAAAATACTCACCGAGCCCCATTGCCATCAAGTCATTTCCAACCCCTCGCAGCTCTAGAGGACAGAGTCGAGATGCCCACAGATGGTTCCCAATGCTGTAATCTTTATGGAAGCCGACTGCCACATCTTTCTCCATGGGCTTTTTACCACTGACCTTTTGGTTAGCAGCAGAGCACCTCATCGCAGAACCAGCAGGGCTTAAAAGCGTGCCCAAGAATCACATTTAGGATTCTATCCAAGGAGGGAGCAGAAGAATCAGCTCAGTATGGGATACCCAGGATGCCTTGCCTTACCTTTTCTTTTGTTTTTTTTTTAATTTAGTATTAAGTTCAATGAAAATTTACAGAGACTTTGGATTTCCATTCATTCATTGTTGCCCTTTTCTCCCCTCCCAACCCTCCCCCCTAGTACACTACCCTCTTGGAAAAATAAAAGAAAAATTCTTTCATCATTTTACAATCCCTCCCCCCAGGTCCACTCCACTATGCAGCCTTCGCTTTGGACTCCTGTCATGTCAAAAATTCCTAATCACATATCCTTTTTAAATAGTTTTCTCCCTCATCTGTTTCAATGCAGTATACATTATTGAACCCATCTTTCTCAGTCTCCCCCCAGCCCCAAGGTCAGTCCTGTTTTACAACAGTGGCACCATGCACTATTTGTCCTTTTGTGACTGAGCTACTTTACTCAGCATAATGTCCTCAAGGGTCACCCATTTTGAATAATAGTGCATGAGTTCCTTGTTTTCAATGCAGCGTAGTATTCACAATGTGAATATACCAAAGCTTCTCTATCCATTCGTTTGTTGATAGGCACTTCGGTTGTTTCCAGCTCCTTGCTATTGTGAACAAAGCTGTGATAAACATGGGTGTGCATGTATCTGCTTGGGTGTCAGTTATGGTCTCTTTGGGTTATGTTCCCAGCAGTGGAATAGCTGGGTCAAATGGTATCTGTATTTGCAGCTTTTTGAGAAAGCACCATACCGCCTTCCACAGTGGTTGCACCATTTTACACTTCCACCAACAGTGAATAAGGGTTCCAGTTTCTCCACAACCTCACCAGCATTTGTTGCTTGCTGTTAAATGTTGCTATTCTGACTGGGGTGAGGTGATATAGTTGTTTGGTAGCTGTTCTTATAGTATCTTATGAACAAACATCTAAGGCGTATATATTCAACTGTTAAGATACGGTGGAGCTGGACCTTGTAACCCAGAAATTCATTATTTCTGTTACTTTTTTTTTATGTTTGAAATGTTTCATAATTTAAAAAATTGTATGGGTCCTAGAAAGCTGTTAGGAGTCTGAGTGTTCACAGCCCATCGCCCTGTTCCTTCCCACCCAGCATGGTTGAAGCCAAAGAACAAGCACTCATCCCCTGAGGGAAGTGTCCTCCATCTGACCACCTTCCCCGACTGGACAGTGTGACCTGCTGGTGTGGCGAGAGTCTCTAAAGCCCCGGAAGGTCCTTATCACTGCTTCCTGTTCAGGTCCCTCATTCTGTGACACGTGTCACATGAGCACAGCCAAACACCTAGCAGGCGGGTTCTGACTGCAGAGTCAAGCAAGTTTGTGAAAGAAGCAAATTGTGATCCACAGTTGTCCGCGGTGCATGCATAAGGTAGTCCAAATCCGGATTCTGCCGTGCCATTGCAGGGCTGCCTGCCTGCAAACGCTTGGTCCTCTCAGCACGCCAGATGTCATCTCAGTTTTGCTAATTAAGTTGATTTTGACCTTTCAAATGCAGAACAGCAGACCTGTTTCTGAGACATCTTTTAGAGGGTTAGAATTGTCGATCTTTTGAGAGTGAAGTGCTTAACCATTTTTCCCTGTTATTGTTATGTGCCTTTGAGGTCAGAACTAACTCGTAGCTCACCCTCCAGCAAATTTTCAGAGACTATAAATCACACAGGAGTAGATTGCCCATCTTTTTCCCTTGGAGCAGCTGGTGGATTCGAACCACATGCCTTTGGATTCACAACATAATTCCTTACCACTAGGCCACCAGAGACCCCTGCTCAGTTTTGCCCTAGGTGGGAATAAATAAGATCAAGTAAGCAGGTCTTTGTCAGAAACGATTCTCTTTTTTTCCCCCCTCCCTTTAGCCGTGGTCACTTCCTGAGCTTTATGTTTATCAAGTCTCTGGTGGCTTAGTGGTAAGGTGGTGTGCTGCTAACCCAAAGGCACACAGTTCGAATCTACCAGCTGTCTGAGGGAAAATGATGAGCAGTCTTCTCTTCTGAAATTTAATTGCCTTTGAAAATCCGCTGGAGGGTCAGCTGTGAGTCAGCTCCAAGTCAATGGCAGTGAGTTTGAGGGGTTTTTTAACACTAACTCTTGACTGATGTTCTTCCCGTCTTCTGTGCTGTCTTCTGCTTCCTCATAGGCTCTACCACATCACCCTCTGGACCTTCCTCCTCGCCATGGGCCATTTCCTCTCTGAGTTGTTTGTATTCGGGACAGCGGCTCCCACGATTGGTGTCCTGGCACCCCTGATGGTGGCAAGTAAGCAAACATACACTCGCCCTGTCCCTTCCATGGGGAACCCCCACACTGTGGCCGGAGCAGGAGAGTGGGTGTGCAGAGAATACAGAGGGGCAGTGTTGAGGCTGACTCCTAGCCCCTTCTGTGTATTGAAGGTCTGTCCATCCTGGGGATGCTGGTTGGACTCCGGTACCTGGAAGTAGAGCCAGTGTCAAGACAGAAAAAGAGAAACTGAGGCCGACCCGACCCCTTCGAGACTTCAGCTTCCACCTTTACTGTCCTCTCCCCTCATTCTCTCTGCTCTTTACGTTGATCTTGTCTGATCCACCATCAGTCATTTAACCCACTTCTCACCTTTTCCATTTTTCACTTTTTTCATTTTAAAAAAAATTTAAGATACAGCATATACACTTATAGGTGTATAGCATGTATGTACATTTTAAGGAATAATTTGAAATTACCAGCACCTCAGAAAGCCACCATTGTCACCTTCCCCTGCCATCACAATTGCATCCTCTCCCAGGTTCCCATCCCAGCCTCTGCCTTTTTTCCTTTGACTTATGTTGTGAGAACATGTGAATGAGGATCCCTAAAGCTGCCATGACTTAGAGCAGCTGTGACCAACAGGTAGCCCTTCTAGACTGGGGTCTCCTCTGCTATTGGACCCAAGGCCGAGACCATCTGAGGGGCCGGCAGTTCTTCAAAGGGCGGCCCCCTTCTGAGCATGCAGAACACGGCTCTTTTACATACATGTGGATTGGGGTCAGGAGACTATTTTTAGACCTTCTGGTCAACTGTATTTGTGTAACCAATTTTGTAATAAATAGAAAAAGCTTCTGATCAGCCCTTGTCACCACTGGGCCTATTGGCAACATCATGATGGATGGTGAAGAGATTGAGATTGTGAACAGCTTTAGTTTGCTTGGCTCCACAGTCAACACTCTTGGCACCAGCAGCCAGGAAATTAAAAGAAATATTGCGATGGGAAAGTCTGCTCTCAGGGACCTCTCCAGAGTACTGAAAGGCAACAGTGTCAGTTTAAGGTGTGCCTGATCCAGACCATTGTCTTGCAGTTACTTGCTATGTGTCAGAAAGCTGGACAACGACTAGGGATGGTAGAAGGAGAATAGATGCCTTTGAGCTGTGGTGCTGAAGAGTATTGCATATATTATGGACTTCGCAAGCGACTCGATGGCACATAACAACAACAACAGGAGAAAAAAAGGTTCATCCTGGAGAGGGTGAAGCCAGGCTGCTCCTTGGAGGCAAGGATTCTGAAGCTTCATCTGCCGTACTTTGGACATGTTGCAAAGAGGGATCAGTCCTTGGAGAGGGATGTCATGCTGAGGAGGGTGGAGGGACAGTGCAGGAGAGGAAGACCCTCGATAAGATCAATTGATTCAGTGACTGGGGTAACGGGGCTAGGTGTGTCAGAGACAGGAAGGTTGGCACACACTAGAGCAGGGTTCAGGGATGTTGTACAAAGGGTCGCTATGAGTCACAAGCGACTCAATGGCACATAACAACATGAAAAGAATACCCGTTACTCTTTGTTCCAAAACTAGCAAGCCTGACTCCTCCAGTTCATCCTGTCCCTTGCTCTTTTCTCTGTGTGAAGTTGTATCTTCCTCCTTCCTGCCCACCTTCAAGATTCACAGAATAGCCAGAACCTCTTCTTGGGAAGAAATAAATTCTTCTGCACCCAGCAAGATAGAAGAGCTGTATGTCCAGGAACGGGAAAACTAAGTCCCGAGGGTAATGGAGGAAGAATTGTCCCAAGAATCTTACCGAAAGGGCCCCACACTGGCTGAGCCTCGCACAAGCTCTAGAGTCAAGAGCTCACTCACTGCACAAGTATTTACTGCAGGCCAGACACTTAGGATAAAGACACAAACAACACAAGCAGTATTCCTGCCCGTGGACCTAATGTTACAGTCCAGGAAACACCACCAGCAAGTCAACACTTGACAGAACCTCCGATAGTGATGTTATGTGCCGTCGAGTCAACCATGGCTCATAGCGACCCTACAAACAGCCCTGCACCCTGCCCTGTCTCTATCCTGTTTCTCACACGCTTGCCCCCATTGCCACAGTCACCATGGCAGTCCATCTTATTAGGGGTCTTCCTCTCCTGCACTGACCCTCTAGGTATTGAGATCAAATCTGTTTGTAAGAGAAAACCCTTGCTGAGGAGAGGGAGTAAGAACAAGACCTGAATGCCCAGGAACCAGCCGTCCTGCGCTCCGAAGCCAGCATCTCAGGTAGAGGGCATCTCAAGTACCCGGAGAAAACAGCCTTGTATAAGGAGCCAAAGTAAGATTAATGTAAGCATACAGTGTGGAGAAGAGCCACTAAGTGAAAGGTAGGAGATATGGTCAGAAAAGGAGGCAGGGCCATTTAAGGCTACGCAAGCAAAATTGGAGTTTATACTTAAGTGCATTGGAAAACCCAAAATTGTTCCGGCTCTCTACATAAAGGACAAAGTATACATTACGCTAGCTTAAATGATAAGAAAAACACTCATACTTAAAGGATCATAGGCTTCAGGAATGGTTTGATCAAGTCTCCAGCTCCCGTATTCTGCACGTTCTTTTGCCTCTGCCCTCTTCTCTATGTTGGCTTTATCTTCAGACTGGCTTCTCTTAAGGTGCTGAAAGTGGTTGCAACACTTCCAGACCTTACAGGCCCAACACCACTACGGGAAAAAAGTAGTTCAGTGGTAGAACCTTTTCCTTAGTCACTAGCTATCGTAAGGAGATAACAAGAATAACAGTGATCTACAAAGAGTTAACGTTTCAGTGTAGGGCCACTTAAAGGGCAAAGAAAAAAACAAATGGAAGCATAAGATGATTTGAGTGCTCTCAGTATATATTGTAGAAATGACTGTAGAAAAAGGCAAATCACAAAGGATAAGGTAGGTAAACTGTGTCGCAGACACTTGAAATATTAGCTGCCTTCAGCCCAGGCTTGGCTCCCTTCCCGGATGTTTTAAAGTAGCAGCTACATATCTCCAACTGAGAATGGCTAACAGATAAGGTGCCAGCATGCTACTAGCACTCTGCATACCCTTTTGGGGGGAAATGTACAGAAAAATGACAGCAGGTCGTCCAAGTAAATCCAGAGTCATGATTGGGAAGGGAGAAGCAGCAGTGGGTGGGACAGTCCACAAGGGGAATGACAAAAGGAAGCTGTACTGCACATGCTGTGCTCAAGCTGTGGGACTTTGGCCAGACCAAGCCAGTGTGTGGCAGCTGTGCTCATGGGGCAGACCTCCCACCCCACCTTTGAGGCAGAGCCAGAAACAACAATGGGCTCTTGTCAGCAGTTACGAGCTGGTAAAGTTACACAGTTGGAAGAGGTCAGGGCCATGCACTGCGTGTTGAGTTGTAGCTCTCCACTTGGGCAAAGGTAATGTCCATAATCTTGTCTTACAAAAAAAAATCACCCACCAAGGGTAACCCTCTACAAGATGACTGACACGGTGACCAGCAGTGGGCATGAGCATAACAGAGATGAGAAGGCTGGGGCGGGATAGGGCAAGGCTTTGATCTCGTTTGTAGGGTCGCTGTGAGTCATCATCAACAGCACCTAACGACAACTACAACAGAGCTCCTTCTGTGGAGGCCAGAGGACCACCTTCCTAGCTTTAGCCCACCTGCACCTTGTCGTGTACAATAGAGTCAAGCCATAGCTGACCCTCCAGCAGGTTTTCAGAGGCTGTTAATCGCAATGGAGGAGATTGCCCATCTTTCTTCTGCGGAGCAGCTAGTGGCCTTGAACCACATGTCTAGGGACTGCAGTGTATCTTCTTGCTACTAGGCCACCAGAACTCCCTTCCTGCACCTTGTTGTTGTTATGTGCCATCGAGTCGTTTGCACCTCATAGTGACCCTATGTACAAGAGCCCTAAATGCCGTTCTATCCTGTGCCAACCTCACTGTCTCAAACACATTCATTCCCACCACTCCAGTCACAGAATCAATCCATCTCATCGAGGGTCTTCCTCTCCTGTGCCGTCCCTCCACTCTCCCAAAAAACGAAGTCCCTCTCCAATTACCAGTCCCTCCTTGTAACATGCCCAAAGTATGTCAGACAAAGCTTCAGAATCCTTGACTCCAGGGAGCATTCTGGCTTCACCCTCTCCAGGACAAACCTGTTTGTCCTGCACCTTAGTCCTGATAAATGGGAATCATTTCATGGGAATGACCAAATGCCACCTCTGACCCAACAGTGACAAGTCAGACCACTTTAAGAATCTTTTATTACTTTAAAATATCTGGCATCACAAATACAAAATACAGTTTTAAAATAAAGCCTGGGATTTGGTAAACATTTTGTTAATACATCTTTTTTAAGAGTTGGAAGAATAAACATTGCTCTCTTTATAAAAAAGTCACACCTGTCTTCCTCCCCTAACTGAATTCCCCCACCAAGTGTGAACTTTTAAAATGACAGAGACTGTGCCCTGGTTCATGCACAGGTCTACAAGCATACACAGGTCTACAAGCATACACCACAGGTCTGACCCCCCACTTGAGGTCAGTGGCCCCAGCACCCCAACACAGCAGCCAATGCAGGATGGACGCCCTGAGGGGCTGAAGCCAGCGCAGTGACCATGATGGCTGCTCAGCACTGTCCACCCTGTTAGTCACAGAAAGTACCGAAGTCCATGAGCCAGACAGCAGTACCGTCCAGAAAGGCAAGACGAGGTCAGTTTGGGTTGGCTTAGAGGGGGTCCCTTTAAATTTAGACCACCTGATAAAGAGTACTGCTTAACAGCTGCGTAAGGAGAGAGCTGATGCAGATACTGTCCCCACTCAAAGGCTGGATAGCCTGAAGGTGGCTCAGTTCTCATGTCAAAAGGCACAGTTTTTTTTTAATTTTATTATTTGTGTGTGTGCGTGTACCGTCAAATCAGATCTGACTGGTACAGGAGGAGATTGTCCCTCCTTCCTCGGCAGAGCATCTGGTGGATTCGAACCGTGCGCCTCTGGGATTGCAGTGCAGCTTCTTGCCACTAGGCCACCAGAGCTCCCCGCACATTTTTAATTCTTTTCCACTCATCTGTCAGAAACAGCTTTGGGTAAGATGGCAGTGATTTCCCTCACGTGGGCTAACAGCCAAATCTCCCATCATAGTGTCCAGAAAAAAACTTCAGGATGACACAATAACATGAGTCCCTCAGCCAAACTGCCTTTTAAAAAAGAACTTCCCCTTCCCAAAGTAGCCACTGAAGTCCTCAGTTGTGGGACTGCACAACCATGAAGTAGATCGATCCCCGCACGGCGGTGACCCCGTGTGTGCCGAGGAGCACTACTCAATGGGTTTGTTCACGGCTGTGTGATCCTTCGGAAGCAGATTGCCAGGCCTATCTTCCAAGGTACCTCTGAATGGGTTTAATCTGCCAACCTTAAGGCTAGGCGTCAAGCACTTAGCCAGTGGGGCCACCCAAGGATTCTGCTCAGTACTTTGCCCTCTCAAATTCATTTCTCCTTCACGGGTATATCCAACTGTCAAGTTTATTGATGTTTGTTTTCATCAGCTCTTAGGAAAAGAGAGTTTAGCAAGAATAGACCCCAACATTAGACCCAGAGAACCTAGGGCTAGACGTGCTGAAGGAGTTCTCTTGGTGTTTTCCCACCTCAGCTGTTGTCTGAGGACCCAGGAATGACCTTCAACCACAGTAACCACTATTGTTCCTTAGAACTGGGTTTTCTGTGAGGTCTTAAAATACTAGAAAAAGTTACATCCTGAATAAACTTTCTTCCTGTGAGAATTTTTCACACATTGTCCACAAGGGATGGAGCTGAAGAGGGACGATAAAGGACCAAGTCAGGACCAATATTCTACCAGCCTCTCCCGATAGCAGCTCCCACTTCCTAAACAAGGGAACCGAATCAGCACTTGATGAAAGGGAACGACTCTCCCACACTAAACCATCCAAGCTCTTGAGGGGGGTCCAGAAGCCATAAAGCACCACTGTCCAGGCCACAAATATTCCAGCTGGTCCCCTCCAAAGGCATCTCCAGCGAAGCCCTTCATGCTGGAGTGAAAGCTGCGCTGGATGACAAGGTGGGGGTGGTCTTGGTGTTTCCCTGAGTCACCACCACTATGTCCTCTCAGAAGTGCTCCTCCGACACGGGGGCTGGTACTTTGCTGATATTGCTCTCTTCCTCCTCCTCCTGGGGTTTCTACAAGGAAAGACAAGCAGACACTCCTTAGGGTCTAGGGGTATGAGGATTCCATCCTGACAGAAATAAGTGTTAAACACACTTGCTGGCAATCGAAGAGCCTTATCAAAAGGTCAAATGTGTTAACATCAGCACTTAGGAAAAGGAATTTCGTAACAGATCCCAGCTAAGGACAGGAGAAGCTGGGACTAAAGCGTTCTGAAGGCGTTGTTCTTGTTTCCCTCCCACGGAACTTTGGCTGTCATCTGAGGACCCAGGAATAACCTTAAGCCACAGAAGCTGACTCTCCTTAGACCCAGGCCCCTCAGCACCCTCCAGAAGGAATGAGGAGCACGAAACGAAGTTAACTGGCCCCCGCGATAAATGGGCTACACAAATAATCTAAACACAACAGCACAAGGTCATCAAGCAGAGAGCATATTAAGGGCCAGCGTTCAGTATTGCCACTGTCTCCAAAAACACCACAGCCCGTATCTCAACTCACTCAGAATTAAACAGAGCTCACCCTCCCTTCCCCTTCTGACAGCTTGAACATGCCGGCCAGGGCTGGTTACCCAGTAGCTGCCCCTAGTGCTGAATCTGCAACTCCAGACTCCTCTGTTTAGAGGTGACTTTACGATGAGTAAGATTACGATCATGTGTGTAGACACAGCATACAGACTTATTTGCAAGAAATAAAAAAAAAAAAGGTCAATTTGCTATTTCTCAAGGAGGGGCACAGGATCCATTTATAAAAAAAGAGTTTTCTAAGTTATAATTATCAAAGGGGCTTAAAATGAAATTATTGTTGTTGCCGTCATGTGCCTCTAAATCGTCTGACTACGCCTCATAGCAACCCTATGAACAGAGAGCTCTGACCCATGCCCTACCCTGAGCCGACCTCACCATCTCTGACACAGCTGACCCCACTGCCACACTCACTGTGTCAATCCATCTCATCCAGGGTCGTCCTCTCCTGCGCTTACCCTCCACACTTCCAACCATGATACCCTTCTCCAAGGACTGGTCCCTCCTGGCAGCATACCCAAAGTATGGGAGACGGAGCTTCAAAATACCTTGCCTCTAAGGAGCAACCTTGTTTGTGTCCCTAGGATGGGCACCTGGGTGACACTGTCACTGTAGGTATTTGTCTTCTGTCTTAAGAAGCACTTTGCTTGTTACTGCAAGGGTTCTTCTTGTTAGCATGGAGGCCCAGGCTTGGGCACAGCCAGCACCACTCCAGGGTGAGGAATGAGCAAGGCCGGGTGGACATGAGTGTTTTCTTGGCCAGGGTGTGTCATGGCACCCGCCCAGGGCAACAGCCAAGAGAACTATGCACCTCTCCTTCCCGTTCCCACAATCCTGTTCTCTTTTATCACTAGACCAAGAGTCTCAGGTATGAGGAGCCTTCCTTTATAGTAGGCAAAGAGCCTGTCTAAGGAAGTGAATCTGTCTCTCTTACACCAGCACACACCTCTTCCAAAGCCAGCACAGAAACCAGGGATTTGCCAGTATGGCCAAAAACTATCAATTAAAATAAAACTCAAGCCGGGAAGATTTTGGACAGTCATGGTCAGTCAATACCCGCTTTGTAGAATCTTGTGGGGTTTTTTATCACAACTGTGTATGTCACTGGTTAGCATGCAGAGCTGGCCAAGATCATGCCCCTGACGGCCCTTTCTTCACCAGGTAGCAAAGGGTGTGAGTGACTGGGCTTTAGAGCAGACCTGCTCTGTGACAGCCATGGCTTCCACGCTGCTGTCAGCCCCACGGGGGCTAAGGAAGTGAAGCAGACCCTTCCGATAATATCAAGCTTCTACGCCCTGAGGAAACAGAATAGACCCTCCCCACAATACCAAACATGCATAGATGCTTCCAGAAAGGCATAATTAGTTAGCTAGCAGTCAGCATACACAAGGCGGAATAAAGAACATGTGAAGAAACCTCTGGTCTCTGCTATAAATGCACTTCCCAAGCATTCTATACATAACAGTGCCACGATGTCATCCAGGAAAGAAGAAAACAAAAACGGGCCAATGTTCTATCATGCCACTGTCCCTGCAAAATAATACAGTCTGAAAGCCATTGTTCCTGACTTATTACTCTTGGGATTGAAACAACAAAGTCCACTCTCCCTTTGCTGGAAGTCTTCCATTCCTAACCAAGGCAATTTCCAAACTCCCACACTAAAGGAGACTGAGCCCACCACTCCAACCCTGATGAATGCACTTGGTTCAGGGTTCCACGGATTTGGCTGCAAGAATAAGGACGCCCTTCTTATCCTAAGCTCTGGTGGCCCAGTGAGTAAGGAGCTGTGCTGCCAACCCAAAAGCACATGGTTTGTATCTATCAACTGCTCTTTGGGAGAAAGATGGGCAGTCTTCTGTGTGATTTACAGCCTCTGAAAACCTGCTAGAGGGTCACCTATGAGGCAGTTCATAACAGCACGTAACAACTACAAGTAGTAGTGAAATATTAGAGTACTCTAAGTGCTGGACAAGCAGAGATGGGCATGTCTAGTTGCAGACATGAGTTTATAGTAGAATGTTGTTGTTGTTGTTGCTGTTGTTTTTAGATGCCATAGAGTCAAGTATGACTCATAGTGACCCTATGAACACAAGATCTGAACCCTGTCTTGTCCTGTGCCATCCTCACACTTCCTGACATACAAGAGCCCATTGCTGTAATCACCTTGTCGAGCCACCTAGTTGAAGGTCTTCCTCTCCTTTGCTGACCTTCCACCCTTCCCAACATCATGCCCCTCTCCAAGGAATAGCACCTTCTTGCAGTATGACCAAAGTAAGGTGAAGCCTCATCATTCTTGCCTCCAAAGACCACTCTGGATGCACCCTCTCCCAAGACATTATCTGTTCTCTTGCCCATCCATAGGATGTTCAGTGCTCTTCTCCAACACCACAGCTCAAAGGTGTCAGTTCTTTTTCTGTCATCCTTATTCATTGTCCAGCTCTTGGATGCATAGCTAGTAATTGGAAAGACTATGGCCTGAATCAGATGCACCTCAAACTGACATCACTATTCTTAAATAACTTGGGAAGGTCCCTAACTGCAGATTTTTCCAGTGCAGTGTGTCTACTTATTTCCTGACTGTTTGTACCAAGGGTGTTAATTATGGATCCAAGCAAGATGAAACTGTTGATAGTTTCAATCTCCTCTCCATCCTGACACTGCCTATTGGTCCAGTGGTAAGAACCTTTATTTTCTTGATATTGAGACATACTGAAGGCTGCATTCCTTGATCTTCTGCAACAAGGGCTCCAAGTTCTCCTCACTTTAAGCAAGTAATGTTGTATCATCTACATAACGCAGGTTATTGATGAGTCTCCCTCCAAACCTGATGCCAAGAGTACAGCTTCTCAGATAATTTGCTCAGCATATAGATTGAACAGGTATGGAGATAGAATACAGTCCTGGCACAGTCCCTTCCCAATTCCAAACCATGCAGTGCCTCCCTGCTCCATTACAACAGCCTCCTGGTCCAGGTATAGGTTCCTCATGAGCACAGTCAAATGCTCTGGGATTCCCATTCTTCTCAATGTCCGCCACAACTTGTCATCCACACAGTCAAACGCCTTTGCATAGTCAATAAAGCACAAACAGACATTCTTCTTCTGGTATTCCTTACTTTCAGCCAGGATCCATCTGACATTAGCAATGATATCTCTGATGCCAAGGCCTCTTCTAAATCCTGCTTGAACTTCTGGCAATTCCCTATCTATGTACTGTTCCAGCCATTTTTGAATGATCTTCAGCAGTATTTTGTTTGCATGTGATATCAATGGTATTGTTCAGTAATTTCCACATTCAGTTGGATCACCCTTCTTGGGAATGAACCTCTTCTAATCCATTGGCCAGATAGCCATTGTCCAGATTTCCTGGCATGTGGAAAGGTCATTGTACTATATTAACAAGCAGGGTAGAAAACCAAATGTGTACACACATGCCTACAGAAAACAACCCTGGGAATGGGGCAGAATGTAACTAGGTTATGTGTACATGGTAGGTCTATCAGTCATTTTCATTTTCTTTATGTTTACCCATACATCTGCCAAGATCAACATAGATTATAAGGCAAAACTTCACATCTACTGACACAATCCAAGTCATGCTCCAAATTGAAACCTTTCACCATATAACCAATTGTTTTATTACTGTCACCTTTCCCCAAAGTGTCCCAAGTCAGTGTGTCTCCTCATATATGGTAGGTGACAGTTTACCTCCACAGTAGCCATGCTGTGGGTGGCATAACAGTCCAACTCCCAAGGAGCTCTGTTGCCCAAATACATTGCATATACTATGTAACAGCACTGTTGTAAAACAGGACAGACATGGAGAGGTTGGGGAGAGATGGGAAAAGCGTGGATAGATAATGAACACTGTATTAAATCAGATGAAGGGAAGAACTGTTTGAAAGAAATATATGATTAGACATTCTATGTATGACAACAATCTGGAATAAAGTGCATTGTGGGGAAGGTTGGGGAGGTGGGAGAGAAAATGTTCAACAATAGAAAAACAATTAAAACATTTTCAATGTTAAAACAAAAAAAAGAATGCTAGATCTCTGTATTTTCAAGCTTATATACACTGATGATGTTGTGTACCATTGAGTTAGGACCAACCCATAGCTGACCCTCCAGTGGGTTTTCAGAACAGTATTGCTATTCTGCAGGTAAGAGTAGAAAGGTGGTAACACCTTTTCAGAAGACAGCTTTAGCAATACATTATCAACAGTCCTTTAAAATGTGCCTGACCATTAACCCAGTTTTCAAGGAAATACCATACTTAATCATGCACACCAAATTTAGCTTCCAGACATCATTCATGATATTGCTTATAACAATTGGAAGCAGCCTTAATGTTAATGAACAGGAAAATGGTTAAACAAGCTATGTTTACCTACATCAAGGATCAGTGTGCAGTCATTAAAAGTAGGTGATAAAAGACTAAAAACATGGAAAGATGTTCACAGTACTTTAAGAACCAAAGCAGAATAGGGTACTTTTGAACACACATACACACACACATACATATAAGGTTGGTCGTATCCAGTGTCTCCTATATGAATATTTTGTTAGTCAAATTGGTTCTGACTCAAGAAAACCTTTATAGACATGATAGATAAATAAATGCAAAAACAAAAAAGAGCAGCTTATCACAAGGTGATGGGATTGTTGTTGTTGAGTACAGTCAAGGTGGAACCGACTTACAGCTGACCCTCCAGCAGGTTTTCAGAAGCAGTAAATTGAGTAGGAGGACACTGCCCATCTTTCTCCCACAGAGCAGCTGGTGGGATCATCTCACATGCCCTTGGGTTGGCAGCGCAACTCCTCACCACTAGACCAGTAGAGCCCCTAGGTGATGGGATTAGAGGGTGATATTTTGGTTGTTTTTCTGTATATTTTTATATTGTCATTTTTCTGCAAAGAACATGTATAACATTACTTTGGTTATTTAAAAAACTTTTGGTATGATTTTTAAAGAAATATTCTACTTATAGTCCTCGGAGTATAATGGCAATTTTGGACAATAACCAAGGAGGGCAGAAGAAAACTCAGTGCCTTTGAGTGTTGGAGGAGATACTGAATATCCCACGGACAGCTAAAAGAACAAACAAGTCAGAAAGCACTGCCAGGGTGCGCTCCCTGAAGACAAGGATGGTGAAGCTTCGTCCCACATATCTTTGGGCATGTTGTAAGGAGGTGCTGGTCCTTGGAAAAGGACATTAAGCTTGAAAAGGTGGAGGTTCAGAGAAAGAGAGAAAGACCTTCAATGAGATGGACTGACCCAGTGACTAACAATCAGAGATGATGAGGACGGCACAGGAGAGGACAAGGTTCAGACCCACCGGTCACAGGGTCACTATGGGTTGCAGATGACTCGACAGCACCTAACAACAACATACTCCTCAGATAGGAATTGTCTCATATTCTCTTCAAATTCCATATTTAACATTTTGGTCAAAATGCTTCCCAGTGGATGAGAGAAGGGAAAAATTCTTGTGTTCTAAATCAAACTCCTGGCAAGAAGCTGGGCTGCAATCCCAAACTCCTGGGCCTCTCCCTTCTGTCACATAGACGTTGTTGTGATGCCCCCACACCCAACACCTTCCCTTGGTCTCCATGATCAAGCTCCTACTCTTTCTCCCCCACCACTGATCTCAGGGCTTGGCTCAGCTTCCAAGGGCGCGGTGCCGCTTGGCCAACTATAACACCAGCAGTTCATGCAAGGGAGGCCAGAAAGAGGCAGGTCCTTCTCTAGCTTATGAAAGGAAGCAGGAGATTAGCCCAGGGATGGACATCAGGAAAGCCGTGCCAGGAAGTCCACTGAAGAAATGTTTGGGGTAGCATACTTGTGAGAACTGAGCTGTTCTCACAGTCTTTACAAAAGAAGTCCACATTAGGAATTCCTCCAGCCTCCTCCCATGTTGCCACATCCTTATCAAAAGCCTGAGACTCGTAGCTCAGTCCCATCATACTCCCACATACTCACAACATCAGGAGTTTCTTTGTTTGCTTTCTGCCTCCGGAGATCTGCCCTGATGAATGCTGATGTCCAGGGATTGAAAAGGAAGAGTAAAAGAAATACAAAGTCATCAGGCAGATCAAGGGTCAAGTTCACCCAAGAGAAGAAGCTCTCATCTTCCCAAGGGCCACAGGTATCCCAAACTGACTTCAGTTATTCAAAGGAGCTGGGGTGCCATTAATCAAATCATTGCTATCCATACCAGGCAGAAGCCACTGGGGAGACTGGCCTTTGTGTGTGGCTCATTTATGTTTGCCAGAACATTGCACATCCTGTTGTAATCTCCAGAACAATCTCTATTTATAAGGAACCTAAGGCTCTGAGAGTTTCATCAGTTGCTGTAGGTCAAATAACTCTATGATTACTGTCACAGTCTGGGATTTACATTTGGCTTTTTAACTCCAAAAACTCAGGTTGATTCCACCAAAACCCTCTGCTGTCCAGTCAATTTGGATTCTTGGCAACCCTTCCCCAAGTTTCCGAGGCTGTAAATCTTTGTGGGAGGAGAATTCCCCTCTTCCTCCTATGGAGCAACAGGTGGATTCAAACTGCTGACCTTTGGGTTAGCAGCCCATCATGTTACACACTATGCCATCATGTTGTTGTGTACTGTTGAGTCGGAGCTGACCCTCAAGTGGGTTGTCGGAGGCAGTTAATCGCACTGGAGGAGATTGCCCGCCCTTCTCCTGCACCATATTACTACCTCTCGAGTAGATTTTCTTGCACATCTTCCCTGTTCCCTCTCCCCTAGTCCCTCAGGAGGTATTTCCCAATCTGTACCAGCAGCCAAGAGCCTTATCTGTGAACAGCCTGAACCTTATTCTTGCTCTTGGGGCCCAACTCACCAGTGATAGCCGCTCCGAGCAAAAGGAACACGCAGAGGAAGATGTTCCCAGCCATGGTCCCATACTTGTTTATAATCTGGCCCTGGGAGATGGTAAAGATAATACCAAATACCTGGAAAACACAAAGCAGAGAGATTGGACACAAGAGCCCAGCCAATCAGCTGTGATTACCTGAGCCAGCAGGCAAGGAGACAGGCCCTACCTGTGCAGACACATTGAGGAGGCCAGAGGACATGCCTTCTGATTCTGGATACGTCAGCTCCACAGCAAACTCAAATCCCAGCGGGAGATAGCCAGTCATAAAGAAACTAAAGGTCAGATCACAGAAAAAAGGTGAGATTCAACTCCAAGAACAAGGCTAGAAATCCACCTTTCGCCTTATAACCCCCTTGCTTGTTTCCTTTCTTCTAAAACATGTCAGTGCCTTTAACTTTCTGGTCATCCACAATGTGGTCACTCCAAGGAAAGGGAGACATCAGAAAGCCGCACGCAGGCCATGTGCTCAGGGGGCCTCCGAGGTTCCTTGCTTCTATGTCCAGTCATCAGTGACAGACAGGGTTAGCATTTACAGAAAGGTGGAATGTACCTTCAACAGCGAGTCTACTATGTCTTGAGGAAACAGGTCTTGTGCTGGATGAAGGGATTGAATTGTGTCTCTCAAATACGAGTTGGGGGCAGGGAGTCCCTAAACTCTATGCCTGTCATCATAATCCCAGTGGAGAATGAGTTGTCCTTGTTCCATTAGGGAGACATAAAGAGTATAACGTGTGCTTTCGATCAATCTCTTTTGTGATATAAAAGAGATTAAACAAGCAATGGAAAGAAACTGAGATGGGAAGAAAGAGATTGAGCAGAAGCTCAGAGAGACAAGGGCCTTCAGTGGAGAAAGCCTGCCCTTAGCCTGCACTCAGATTCCTGGCATCAACTTAAATTTCTGCTCTTAATAGTCATCCACTTATGGTATCAACACTAGAAAACAAAGAGACTACATACTGAGCAGCAACTCCAGTACCGACATAGAGGAGCTCAAAGTCCTTATTTTTGTCCAGAGAGTAACAGGCTGAAAAGAGTTGAATGCAAGATGTGTCTGTATTTCTCTTATACCCATACTTACTCTCTTCTCTCTCTCTCACACACACACACACATGCACAAATTCACTGTCCACAGGAAAATAAGTGGGAAATGGATGTCTTAGTCATGCAAAGCTGTTAAACCAAAGATACCACAAGTGGGATGACTCTTAAAGCAGAAATTTATTCTTTTCCACTTTGGGAGGCTAGAGAAGAAGTCCAAGTTCAAGGTGCCAGCTCTCAGGAACAGGCATGTCACCTTCAGCATGTGCTGCTGACATTCTTAGGAAGGTTCCACATATCGTGGCCTCCCCCTGTGTTAAGGAGCTTCCTAGCACAGGAGCCTGGGTCCACGCACACACTCCACTCCTGGCACCTCTCTCTCGGTGTTATTTCAGTATCCCCCTTCCACCCATTTCCTTTCTCCTTTTATCTCCCATGAGACAAAAGATTTTACAGGCCACACTCCAGTGGAACAGCCCTTACACTGGACCTGGGTTGTATAAGAGGTGCTGTCTTCTACCCTTAATCCTCTAAGAATTGTTGACTTTATCAGATCATGGGCAATGTTACACAACTTCCATATTACCTGCGCATTTTAGAGGGGCACAATTTGATTGATGACAGTGGTGTTTTGAGCAAATACTTATAGGAGGGGGACTATTTTCTATACTTCCTCCTACAGCAGGTCTAGAAAACTCACTTTACACTGCCATGCCACTTCTTGCTTCTTTCACATTTCCTATCACTCAGTCTTTCCAACACCTCTGTAAAAAAGCTGTTCTTATTTTCATGTACAGATGAGGAATCTGAGGCTCAGGGTGGTGAGTGGGTGAGTGGCATGTCTGTGGTGCAAAGAAAAGCTAAGACCAGAGCCAAATTGCTGATTCCAAGCCATGTGAACTTTCTTTGACCTCATATTGGTCCAGGCAAAGGCCTCCACATTCTTAGCCTCTCAGAGGTCTTGAAGGGCTTTTCTTCAAACTTCACACCATTCCTGCAGCAGGGATGGGCCAGGAAGACTGCCTCTTGAGATACTACAAGCAAACAAGACCCCAGAGCACCGTTCTCACATCTCCAGAGGTCAATGGGAGGGTCAATATTGCTTTCTGGGATACTGACAGCTTGTGGACTGCTTAAAAGGTGAATAACAGGTGAGCTCTGGTGACCTAGTGACAAGAAGCTGCACTGTAATCTCAGAGGTGCTCGGTTCAAATCCACCAGATGCTCTGCTGGAGAAGGAGGGACAATCTTCTCCTGTCAGATCCAATTTGATGGTAGACACATATGCACACAATAATTAACTTTTTTAAAACAAAAAGGTAAAGAATATTTAAACTTACCCCAATGTGCCAGCTGTGATGAACACTATCCACAGGTGTCCCAGGTGCAAGGTCAAGGTGTACACCACCATGCCCACCAGAGTCATAAAATAGACTATCAGTGTTGTCTCCCTACAAGGAGAGGCATGAAGTTGAGTCTTACTATTCTGGCTTTAACAGCTCATTCATTCACTCATTACACTGGGAGCTACTAGCCGGCCGCGCTGTATCATGCACTCTGTTGTGTACTGAACATTGGCCCTCACGGAACGTTCTTTCCTTGGAGGGATAGACATTGAAGCAATGATCACACAAATCATTACTGAAGCATTTTGTGCTTGAGGCTACAAAGAGAGCCCAGGAGAACTCAGAGCCATCTTGATGTATATGTATCCTTATCTGGCGGAAATATCACAACCAGGCCAAGCTGCTCCTTGACTTACCATGCCCTACCCAAAAGCAGATGTCATGCCCTTTTCCCAAGTCGAAAGAAAACAGGGCAAACACCAGCTGGGGTCAGATGGAAGTGGAGAGCAAGACTAGGCCAAAAGTCATCTGATTCTTCTTGTGGGCTTTGTCCCAACACCCCGTGATAGGGCTGAGCAGTGACCTCTTACATACTCTCTGTCATTTGGGAGTTCTTCGTGTTGCCCCCATGCTCAAGCCCGGACGGATGGACAATCTCCTCCTGTGTGATTAACGGCCTCTGAAAACCCACTGGAAAGTCAGCTATGGGTCAGTTACGACTCTATGGTACACAACCACCACCACCGCTAGATTTTGGCCTTCAGACTAGAGAGGACAAATTCAGGGGCCTTCAAGAAGAAAAAAACTCTGGGTAGGACAATGGTTAACACGCTCGGTTGCTAACCAGAAGGTTGGTAGTGTAATTCAAAAGTACCTCAGAAGAAAGAGCTGGCTATCTACTTCCCAAATACCAGCCACTAAAACCCCACAGAGCCCAGGCATGAGTTAGAATCAAGTCCAACTCCAAGGCAACTGGCTTATTTGTCTGTTGGGTATAGTTTCAAGAATGAGACCTGGCACTGAAACAAGCAGATCCCAGGGCTCCCTCCTCCTGTCAAGAGCTGTCATTTCTCTGCCTGGCTTGGTGGCTCTTGCTGACTGCTGGGTTTTAGACATCAAAGGCCAGTGGGAAGTGGTGACATGGAAGTTCTGAGGAAGTGTCCTCCCCAGCCCTTTCATTGTATTTTTTAATTCATCTGACTCCTCCAGCTGCCCACGTCCCACCTCAGGCCACATTCCAACCCCCCCTTCTCCAGCCTAGAGCAAACCCTGGAAAAAGGGACGCTGCTGTTCCCTGGTTAGGAGGTGGCCAGCCCTCCCTGGCTTCACATCTGGCTGCAGCAACAGACGACAAATGGCAGAGACAAGACGGCAGCCAGGCTCCACCAGCGGTAATTAAGCCGAGCCAGGCTCTGCCCTGTGTTAGGCGAGGAGGCCACATCCCTAGGGATGGCCTCAATTGGCCTTTGATTAGGGTGGCCAGAACGAGACCTGGTCTGACTAGGGCCTCACAGAAGGAGGCTTGTGTGGCCGAGAACAGGTCTGCCACTGTCTGTCGCCTCCAGACACTGGGAACTTTGGAGGCCTTGACAAAGCTGCTCGGAATGTCACCCCGCCCCAACGCAGGAAAAGCCTGGCAGCTGCCCCAACAGCCGGCATCAACTGAGCACCCAATACGCGTGCAGGGCGTCGGACAGACGCACCGTGACGGGAAGGACGTTCTCAGGAACATGCTCTGAAGGGTGGCAGCCAAAACAAGGCACCTAGGTTGCTCTGTACAAATGCAAAGCCAACATCAACAACGGTGGGGACGAAGAATCTGTACTTGTTAGAAGGACGTCAGATTAGCCTGGCAAACACGAAGATCTTAGAAAGACTGCTGGGCTCTTCAGATGGCACCGGGCAGTCAAAAGCACATCACAACATTTTCCAACAAGACACAGGCAATTGCCAGATTGAAAAAACTGACAAGGCCAGGTGCTGTCCCGTCCATCTTAGTTCAAGGTGACCTTATGTGTGTCAGCATAGAACTGGTTTTCAGTGGCTGGTTTTACAGACGGTTGCCAGGCCTTTCTACCAAGGTGTTTCTGGCTAGAATTGAGCCTCCAACATTTCAGTATGCAGCACTCATGGACTCTAACTGTAAGGGCTGCAAACCAGAATAATCAGAGTCCTGTGAGACCTCAAACCAGAGCATGCTGGTCAACCCCCAACCCCCAACCCCCACCCCACCCCGTGACATCCAAGAGGAAGGGATCGCAAGAGGGCGGTGAAGAAGTCACTTCCCTCCCACACTCCGGAGTTTCCACCAACTTCCCATCTGTGGACACCCCTTGTACACTCATTTTTCATTCTCCTTCATCTGCTCCTTCCTCAAAACTGCTCAGGAGTGAGGTCAGGGACAGCACTGAGCGAAGTCTTCATGCCCGTTAGTTCTAACACCTGTAAGAATTTCAGAGGGCAAATACTGCTGCTCTCATTTTATAAACAAGGAGACTTAGGTTCAGAGAAGCCTGCCAGCTTGACCACTCAGAGTCCCGGCTGCTGCACCCACGCGTTCAGCACGGCACTGCTGGGCAATGTGCCATTCAAACACATGGGCCCCGGGTTCCCACTCCGGAGGAGGGGTCACTTACTTGTAGGTTTTGGATCGATCCAGCCAGATGCCTGAGATCATAGCCCCGAGCATGCCCGCGAGAACGATGGTCAGGCCAATCCTCCCAGCATTGACTTCTTCCCCCTGGGAAAACAACAATGCCAAAGATCACCCAACCAACAGACAAGACTGGACGGCGTGTAGACCCCATGAGGTGGAGGGCCAATGGCAGGTCGCCTGGGCTCCTGAACCAAAGCACATTCACCACCAAGTGGTCAATTCCATGTGGCATGGACTCTACTATAAATCTGAAGCAGACTGTCACGCCCCTCTCCTGCAGAAGGGCTGGTGGTCGGAACCACTGACCTTGCTTCGGTTAGCAGGCAGGTGTTCGCCAATGCACCATCACCAATGCTCACTTGGGCTCCACATGGGCTAACTGTCAGGACGTAGTGGGGCAGGACTTGTGAGAAGCCGCCCGGGGGGAGAGCAGTCTAGCATCATAATCCCAGATGCGCATGCTTGGTGCCAGATGCTGGGGCCGACATAAGAACCTCTTTTGGATGGATTTGAACATTTCGGTCCTTACAGCAACCCTTCTCTCTTCTTTCTCACTATCCTCCTTTCATAGATGGAGAAACAGAAATAACTATGTTCCATCCTTGGTTCTTTAACAGTTAGTGGCTAAAAGAGCAGGGATCTGTAACTATATTTGAGCACTGAGGATGAACCAGGCACTGGACTGAGGATTTTACATCTTTAGGTCATTCAGAGGGAGCTCTGGTGGCCTGGCAGGTAAGGAGTTGTGAGGCCAAACCAGAGGCAGGTAGTTGGAACCCATCAGTTGCTCTTAGGGGGAAAATGGGCAATGTCCACTCATGAGATTTACTTTCTCTGAAAATACAATGGTGATTGGGACTTGACAGCACCTCCAACAACAATGCCCACAATTTAATGCCCACAACTGCTCACCAGGAGGTTAGGCATCAGCAAGCCTACACTACAGATGAAGAAACTGAGGCACAGCAAAATTAATACACCAGTGCAAGGTCACTCAGTATACATGCAGGACTAGGATTTGAACACAGACCTGTTGAACTTCAAACCTGGAACACTCAAATCAAAACTACCCACACTGCAGGGGTGAGATTCTGAACCTAAACCAGTGCCATCAAGTAGATTCCAACTCAAGGCAACTGGTGTGCAAAGCAAGAGCGCACTCTGTAGGGTTTTTAAGGTTGTGACTGTTAGGAGGGAAATCACCAGGCCTTTCTTCCACGGCACTTCTTGGTAGGTTTGATCTGCTGACCACTCTGATAACAGCTGAGCTCTTTTTTTAAAAAAATTAAATTTTATTCATTTTAATGAACATTTACAGAGATTTGGGGTTTTCATTCATTCATTGTTGCACTATTTTCTCTATCCTCCCCCCAGTTCATTCCTCTTCCCCCCACCTTGAGAGTCTGTTTTAATTGTCCCATTGCCACAGTGCTTGTCAAAGCCAGTTCTGATTAATCTCCTTTGTCAGTGTGTCCTTTGCCATTCCCTATCACTCCTCCCTGAGAGAGACTTCACCCTGATTCATAAGGAAGAGCGGATGGCGTGTTCTCTTATCTACTTCCTGCTGAGAAGGGACGCTGTAGGTTTCATGGTGAAGATCTTCTCTCACTACTTTAAAGGGCCCCTCTGGCAATAGGAAACACGTAGACTATTGTGGAGATTGATTTTGGAATTTAGATGCACTGTTATCAATTGTGCTTAGCCATACATGTTCATAACAGCTGAGCTCTTAACCATTTATGAAATTCAAGGACTTGGTGAAATCCTATTGGTGTTAATGAATATGTTCTGAGGCGTAAAAACCCCCACAAATAACAGGACAAAATGCTACCTGGTCTGGACCATCCTCACAACTGGTTCTATATGTGAGCCCTTTGCAGCAGCCACCATGGCATATTCTATACCTTTCAAAAGATGGTTATGTCTACATATTCCTTTCGCCAAGATGTTCAGTAATTTGTCACCAGTGTCCAGACCTTACTGATGATGCTAGTTGGTGGTGGTATGTGCCATCGAGTCAAAACCGACCCATCTGGTGATCTCCCAGTGGATTTTCAGAAGCAGTAAACTGGACAGGAGGAAATTGTCCATCCTTCTTCCAAAGAGCAACTGGTTGATTCAATCTGCGTATCTCTGGGATTGCAGCGTGGCTTCTTACCATAGAGCTATCTATTGATGCTAGAAATATTTTTCAAAATGTTTTCAGGTTGTTTTTGTTGTTGTTGTGTGCTGTCAAGTCAGGAGCAACTCATAACTGACCCTCTAGTAGGTTTTCAGAAGCAGCAAATCACACAGGAGGAGATCACCATCCCTCTCCTGCAGAGCAGCTGGTGGATTGGAACCATGTGCCTTTGGTATTGCAGTACAGCTTCTTGCCACTAGGCTTTCAAGCTGAGTCACTAAGAATTCAAATCTAAGCCATATCCACATCTCATATCTTAAGTATTTCATGGGAGATTTTATGTACATATTTACCTGCTGTGCTTTATGTTAATACATGCACTATTATTTACTTTCTAATCATTTTGCAATAATGATACTTCCTTTGCAGAGCTGAGGGCCACTAAGTAGCTAGTCACTGTCACATTAGTAGCACAGAGTTTAATGCCTCCAGGGGTGAGGGTGAGACGAGGGCCATCTCCCTCCAAATCCCATAAGCACATCATCACACCAGCTGCTTAGAAGAAATAGGAAGTACAGAGTTCACTGCCACCCAGCTGTGGAGAAACAACACATTATCTCCGAGCCCAGCGTGACTGGGGAACTCCCTTACCGGGTAGTGAAAGAGCACCACACGATTCAGCAGAGTGGACAAGGCATAAAAAGCGCCAGCATTCAGACCTGAAAGAGGGAGGGAGAAATACACAGCATTAGGCTCAGCCTTCCCTGGAGATACTGTTCACTCCTCCCACCAGAGGTTCCAGAAGCCAGCAGCCCTCGGAGCCCCTGTCACTGTGATTAATGTCTTCAAAGAAAAATACAGGGAGGTGGGATGCTGTTCGTCAGTTTTCCACAAAGAGATACTCAAAACCATAAATACGGTCCTGGTTAACGTCTTACCCAAACACAGCTACCCTTTTGGTCCATTCAGCCCCACCCTGGAAACAAAGGTTTTGTAGAGTATATCTCTAGCATCAGAATCTTCTATGTCGTTCCCTAGATTAAGGTCACTGGGTGTAAAAAAAAATGGTTAGGCTCTAGACTGAAAGGCTGATGAATGGTCTGAGCTCACCAGACATACCTTAAAAGAAAGGTCTAGTGATCTGCTTCCAAAAGTCCACAGCGAAAAGCCAACCAAGGGCAGTTCTACTCTGAAAACACGGGCTGCCGTGAACCTGAGTACGTTCAATGACAACTGGTTTTGGTTTTATGGGTCAGTGGGATTACTGGATACTCTACTGACCCTTATCCCCTTTCCAATCTGTTCCAGACCTCTGACCCTTGATGCCATTTCCTTTAAAGGTGGTTTCTTAACCTTTCTCTAGTCTTCCAACTTCTCTGATTCAATGTCACACACAAATCTTATCTATTATAAAGGGCATCTAGTGAGTACTCCTAATTCATCAGCTTATTCAAGAATGAAATGGAGTGCCTAGAATATACCAAAGACTGCATCTTTCGAGAAAGAGGTTATTTGTCCAAAACCACACAGTGAGCTAGAAGCATTTAATACTTGAACTAGAAAAAAAAAAAGGACCTCCAGAACTCTATTCCATAATAATGGCAACAACATAATGGTGGTGCACACATTTATATACTAACTCTGGTGGTCTGGTGGATAGAGAGTTGTGCTGCTAGCCCCAAGGTAGGTGGTTTGAATCCACCGGCTGCTCTGCAGAAAGAAGACGGGCAATCTCTTCTCAGGGATGTGAAAACCCACTGAAGGGTCTGGTATGAGTTGGAGCTATGAGGCAGTCAGTTTGTGAGTGAGCCACTGTTCCAAGCACATCACAGCAACCCGAGAGCACAGATATCTGTGCCACTCCCATTTCACAGATGAAATAAAATGCAAGTAGAGATAGAGAGTTTATCAAAGTTAAGTCTGTAATGCCAACCAACGTTATTCGACTAATCTCTGAGGATCATAAAACCAGCACAAGCAAACTTGATGTTAGATTTACTTAGGAGAATTTAAGACTGGACACAGGACTTCAGGGCAAAGCAATCTTAAGCATTCCTCTTCAGGGAACCACCCATAAGCAGTTCAGACAATGGTCCATGAGGCCACTATTCTCATTGTACCCTCCTCACATGCAAAAAGATAGGTACAGCAACCTGTCTGCTTTCATACATGTGACAAGTCCACAGCATAACTTCTAGGGTCCCAGTGAAGGACATAGCAATGAAAACGTCACCTTGCTCCGGGAAGCACGAGAAACAGCTTTCCAGCAAATTTTAATGGGTCCTGTTGCCTTTTACACCTCAGAGGTCATTGATGTTCAATGCATCCAATCTACTCTGAGATGGTTTGTTAATTCATGTGGGATAAAATCAAGGCTGTATTTTGGTTCTCCTGGACTTCTTTCAACTTCCTTTGAACTTCAGTTTGACCTTGGACATGAAAAATTGATAGTCTGTTCTACAGTCACTCCCTGGTCTTGTTTTGACAGCTAGCATTGAGATTCTCCACAATCAACACTTATGGGAATAGCAGTAAAGAAATCAAAAGACACGTTGCACTGGGAAAAGTTGCTGGCAAAGAACTCTCCAAAGGTCAGTCTGTTCTGACCCTTCATAGTCTGTTATGAACGTCTAGTAAACCTCACTTTCTTTCTCTTGCTCTCACTTAATATTGTTGTCTGTCTTATATATCTGAGTCAGAACTTTCTAGTTCTTACTCGATGAGGTCCCTGGACCTCTTTTGGAAATCATCCCCTTGACATGTGGGGGGCTCATCATCCAAGATAGAATTTCTGAGGACTCCTGACCACTGAGGACTTCTACTGGCTGCAACGGTTCCATGTTAAGATGATATACCTCCAGGGATATGAACCTGTACCCCTAAGCACAACTGATAGCAGTGCAAAGCTCCCATGAATCATGAGAAGTATTTTACATTCACTTTTAAACTAGATGGTGTCTGAGTATTGAAAATTTGTAACGTGCTTGGCTACTAATCAAAAGGTTAGAGGCTTGAATCTACTCAGAAGCATCTTGGAAAAAAACCCTTGGTGATCTACATGCAAAAAAACTAACCACTGAAAATCTTATGTGCCTGCATGGAGAAACTGTAACTCGGTGTATGTTTTGTTCATTTACAATAATGAATATTTACAACCACTACGAAGAAAAAAACTTAAAAAAGAAAATCCTATTGTGTATACACAGCTCTACTTAGCCACGTGGGGAATAACCGTATGTCAGAATGAATGTGCTTATTTCTTACCCCAGGCCCTAAGGAGGACCACAGAACTCCTCCAAAGGCCTATTTTACTCAGATAATTAACAAGCAAGGAAGCACTAGTCACAAAATCAAACCATGTACCACACAGGTAAAATCTGAAAAGGATCTCTTCCTCTTTAAAGTGTGAAAAAGCAAAAATAACATTTTGAGGACTAAGGTGAACCTGATACAAGTCATAGTAATTTTTTTAAAGCTGTGGTATTTTGCAACAATGAATGAATGGAATTCCAAAATCTCTGTAGATGTTCATTGAAATGAATGAATAGATAGATAGATAGATAGATAGATAGATAGATAGATAGATAGATAAATAGATAAATTTTAAAAAGCTGTGGTATTTTCAGTTGCCTCATTACTTGCTATGTTGGAAGCAGGAGTAGCATCCACTTCCTAAACAACATGCCTCCGGAAACTCTATGAACTTTGATAAATGTCGGTAGTTGTAGAGGGACTTCAAGCCTTTGTTCATAGGGTCACTATGAGTCGTCCTTGATTCAAAGGCAATCAACACCACTAACAACATTACTTGCTATGCATCAGAGAGCTGGGCAATGACTAAGGATGACAGAAGAATTATTGATGCTTTTGAGTTGTGGTGCTGGAGAAGAGTCTTGAACTGACATCAATGTTCTTCAGCTCTCTGGAGAGGTCCCTGACAGGAGATTTTCCTAATGCAATTTGTCTTTTGATTTCCTGAGTGCTGATGCCAAGAGTATTGACTGTGGAACCCTGCAAGCTGGAGTATGTATGAATTATTGATTCAAAATAAAAGATGTTTTGTAAACTTTCACTCAAGTCACGATTAAAAATGTTGGCGGGGGGCGGGGGGGAATATACAGCCTCAGAAACCCTATAGAAAATGGCCATGAATCAGAATTCATTCAACAGCAATCGTTTTGGTTTTTGGCAATGGCAGCTGGTTCTCACAGCAATCACAGTTGTGAGGCTACTGGTTTTGAAGCCTTGCCCCTGGACAGCATGTTGTTCACCCAAAGGTCATGCATCCCTGGTGGTCTAGATCCACCAGCAGCACTGAGGGGAAAGATGAGCAATCTCCTCCCATGTGATTTACAGCCTCAGAAACCCAATGGAGGGTCAGCTATGAAGTGGTTTCTCCTTGACAGTAATGAGTTTTGTGTGCAGAGCCTGGGAGAAGGCATCAAAACAGAATAAAATAAAATAAAACACAAAAGTCACTGTTCTTACTGATAAGTCATTTCTTGAATAAATGCTGCTCAGATTGTGTCAAGTCTTTGGTTAAGAAGTTGGGAGGGGGAAAAACAAACCCCAACAACTTGATTTTGACAAAGCTAGGCGATGCTCTCACTGTCTCTGTAAAGAAGCAGATTCTCTAAGGCCCTTACTCCATCATTCCAGAAGTTCTTCCTTATTTCCTTCCTGTGTCACCATTCAACCAAAAAATGAAAGAACAGTGTTCAGAAGTTCAGGATTAACGCTACTCTGTCAGATTAAAGGGAACTCAGATGGTTCAATCTGAATGGAGTTGACTTGCTAATTTAAATGCCCAGACTCTCTGGAGGTTCGAATCCACCAGCACCTCCACTGAAGAAAGGCAGGCAATCTTTTCCTGGGTGATTTAAAGCCTCAGAAACTCAATGGAGAGTCAGTTTTAAATCGGTTCAGGGTCAATGTCAATGCAAGTTAGAGTGAATGACAATCAGATTAAAGACTATGTATGCAGTTAGCCAGGCAAGAGAGGAAGGAAAAGAGGTACTTTGCTCCTCAGAACGTGTCCCATGAGTCAAATCCCTCAATAACCAGAAACAACCCTATTTCTAGTACATTTTGTTTTTGTTTCCTGCTTACTTAAACCAGTGAACTGGCCCTGCTACAAACACTGAAGACTAGCAACTCTGGAATAGGACCATTGCCAGATTATCTCCACACCTTCTCATTAGGAAATATTTATTAAATGCTCATTTGCCTTACAATCCCAAGATAGACCTCAAACTATCCGGGGTCAATGACTTGAAAATTTATGGCTAGCAAAGGTCGATGCACTCAAGTGTTTAACTCTGAGGAAAAGTAAAAGTGAAAATTCCTAGCATTTATGGACTCCCAAGCAGAGGAGCGTGCAGCCTGAGTGCTCTTTGGAGGTAAAGATGATGAGGCTTCACCTCACATGCTTCAGACATGTTTCTAGGATGGACTATTCCTTGGAGAGGGACATGATGCTGGGAAGGGTGGAGGGTCAGTGAAGGAGAGGAAGACCCTCAATCAGGGGGACAGACATGGTGACTGCTGCAGTGGGCTCTTGTGTCAGGAAGTGTGAGGATGGAGCAGGATAGAACAGGGTTCAGATCTTTTGTTCATAGGTGGCTTTGAGTCGTATTCAACTCGACTGCACCTGACAACAACAACAAGCAGAAGAGACCCCACACACACACCCCTCATCTGGTTTCACTACTCACAGTCT